AAGAAATCACAAAGTACGCAAAATGCTTTTCTGTTTGAACGTCCATTTTTGTAATAGGCTTCAATAACTTTAACACGTTTGATTGGCAATTTCAACCATGGAAAGATTAACAAAGACTTAAGTTGTTAAATCTGAAAGAAAAAGAAAAATCATTAGACGATTAAAGTTAATTCGCATTTAAAATTGGTCCAAGTTATTGGAACACCCTTATATATATATATATATATATATATATATATAAAAATAAATATTATTGGAACACACTATATATGGAGAAAACCCTCCTCTTTATTTTTTTTTCAATTTACTATAGTGTTATATTTATAGCCTCGTAAATATAGGGAAAAATGCTCTCTTGCATTTTTTCCCCTATGTGTTTGTCACACATAGAATTGAAAACATCAGTAAAGGAATAAAAAATAAAGTTGATTATAATCATGTGATGACTTGCCTGGAGAAAAAAAAAACAAAAAAAAACATTGAAATGTTTATCTTACAAGCGGTACAGGATTGCTAGTTGAGAAAGATTTGGAACACCCCCACACCTCGAAATTTTTAGGCCTTTATTGAAAGCTTCATAAGATGTATTCAGGATTTCTAATTTGCCCAATTATACATCCATCCCTTATCTGTCACTCATAAAAAATGTTAAAAATCCTTAGTCAAGGTTAACTTAGTAGGCAGGCCATAGAAAAAAAATGATACACCCAGATGAAGATCTCAGTTTAAGATGAGAAAACTATTTTGAGAATCTATGGTACAGTGAATTTCATATATTCTTACTTTAAGAATATTGAATTTTATCAGGGTTTTATAACCCGACTGATTTTGAAGCTATATACACGCACATTATATATATATATATATATATATATATATATATATATATATATATATATATATATATACACACACAAACGCAAAAGATATGTGTATATATATATATATATATATATATATACACACACACACAAACACTGAGAAAAGATATATATATATATATATATATATATACACACACACACAAAAGGCTGAGAAAGAGATATATATATATATATATATATATATATATATATATATATATATACACACACACTGAGAAAGAGATATATAAAAATATATATATATACACACACACACACAAACGCTGAGAAATATATATATCTATACACATGCTGAGTAGGATATATATATATATATATATATATATATATCTATCTATCTATCTATATACAAATGCTGAGAAGGATATATCTATATACAAATGCTGAGAAGGATATATATATATATATATATACACACAAACACACACTGAGAGAGAAATATATATATATATATATATATATATATATATATATATGCATGCACGCACACACACACACACAATGAGACACAAAATAGGGATTAATATCATATTTGTCAGTTAGGGCAAGAAAATACTAAGTCCAACTTTTATAAACTCGAAACCTGAACGCGTAATTACAATGCTGTAACATATTTACAAAAACTGGCTTACAGCCAAATCATGTGGAAGCACCAGCTTCAACACGTTTGCCAAAGTTAAGCAATGACAAGCCTGGTCTATACCTAGATGTGTGTGTGTGTGAGAGACAAATCTCCTGAAATTTATGCCATTTTTCCTTCAGTTTAACTATAAAATGACAAGACCCCAAAATGCACTGACAACTCCTATCGTTAACATCTTTTTTAATCTTCTCTTTGCTTGTGCGTGCATATAAATGCTTGCCTATCGACATTTTTTTTTTTAAGATCATTCTAGATCAAGATTACCTAATAGATATTGTTGAAGACCATAAAAAAAAGTATTTTAAATTCTTACGAATAAAGGAAAAGGGAAATAATCAATGGAAAAAAAAAAAAAAATAAAACCACAAGAATTTTCAACATGACAATTGGCAAGCCTAAAAGAAAAGCAGCATCTTTGAGTTTGGTATTATCTTCAACCAGCCCCCTTTTTTTCCAGGGTCTGCTGTAAAAGAGTCAAAGAATTGCATAACAGTAACTCTCTACATTCCATTCCAAGCCAATATAGGAAGCGAGTTTATTCTCGGTCGTCTGCCGTATGTCCTCTCCTCCAAGAAGAGTTTATATCTTCTTTTTGCAAGTTCTAAACTTTTTAAAGTGCTCACTCTATTTTCAAAGACATGACTCATGTTTTCTTTCCAGCACCTTGTAAAATCTGTTTTTTTTTCTCTTTCTAGCATATTCTCTATGCCAAGTTGTCAGCCATTTTTCTTTTTCATATTCTATTTTTTAAATACTTTTTCTCGATGGCGAATTTAATTCCTGGCATTCCTTTTTCCCTCAATATTATTTTCTTTACTGCAGGCAAAAAAGAAAAAAAAAAATTCTTTTTTCAAAATCTCAAATGAAAATAAATAATATAATCAAGACAAAAGATTTTTTTTTTTAAAGTGTATTAAAAAAAATTTAACTTGGTAAAAAAAAAAAAAAAAAATACAAGAAAAATTTTTTTTTTTATTAAAAACAATTCTGTCAGTTGATATTAGTATCTTTGCCAGCACAAAATGTCAAATCTTAAAACATATTTGAAAGTAAAATTTAATTTAGTTAAGAAATAAAATAAAATAAAATTAAAAAAAAAAAAAACAACATATCTATCTGTACCCGGTGACCCGAAAGACAAAAACTTAAGTTTTCCCTTATGGCCAAAATCATTACATATTTGCTGGAGGTCAGATTTAAAAAAAAAAAATAAATTAAATTAAAATGCTGATTTTCTAGGCAAATATACACACTATTCAATTTCCTTCGTTTTGACACAAATAAACGTCAAAAATAAAAATCAATGACGACTACTACAATGATTCAGTAGTGTAAACTTTCCGACAATATAAAGTATTCGGTTGGAAGGAAAATTCTCAGGATTTCTAAATCTTATTATGATTCTGTCTGTCTGTCCTTCCCTTCTTTATCCTGACCGTACATACATCACATCCTGCCAATATCTCCTAAATAATGGACTCTTCCTTTTTTATTGTATGAAAAAAAAAAAAAAAAAAAACTACTTGGTTTCAGAGAGAAAATTAAAGAAAGAAACGTCCTGACTACACCCCAAATAATGAACTCTTCCATTTCTATAGTATGGACAGACGAAAGGAAAAGAAAAAAAACAAACCACACTACTCAGCTTCAGTGAGATGATGAAAGTGATTTGTTTAACGGCATACCAATTCGGTATGGGTCATTTAATGCTGAAATTTAATTTTCTTGCAGGCTTTGAAGCAATAAAAATGATATGTTATTCTGCTTTCACAATTGAATACATGGTAGATAATACTCAGCTTTTGTGCACACACACACACACACACATATATATATATATATATATATATATATATATATATATATATATATATATATATATTTTGTGTGGATATAATTACTAGAGGTGGTGATGTGTTTGTTTTAAGTTGTAGTTTTGTTGAAGTTATATTTTGGAATACAGTTTGATTTCTTTAACAAATTTTAGAATATTATATGGATTAATATCATGAAAGAGCTCTTTCATGTTTGTTGGTTGATTTTGTTTAACAGCATATCAACTCCTAATGGGTCATTTAATGCTGAAATTTAATTTCCTTGGGAGCTTTGAAGCAATAAAAATGATATGTTATTCTACTTTCACAATTGAATACATGGTAGATGATACTCAGCTTTTGTGCATATACATGTTTGTGTGGACATAATTACTAGAGGAAATGATATGTGTGTTTTATGGTGCAGTTTTGTTGAAGTTATATACTGGTATACAATTTTTATCTCTTTAAGAAATTGTACAATATTATAAGGATTAATATCATAAAAGAGTTCTTTCATGTTGGTTGGTTGATTGATTGATTGATTTTCTTTGTCAGCATATCAACATCTATATGGGTTATTCTGAAATTTAAATATCTTGTTCATATTTTTATATTTTCAGTGATAGATTGTAGATCATAAAATGTGTTAGTAATTTTACTATACAAATGTTCTGTTGATTTTTTTTTTTTATGGGCTCAATATTTGCCTATAGCTAGAACCCTAACAGGTGCTGCCACCTTGGATCAGGGTGGACCTGGGAACAACAGCAATTAAGAGGTGGTTCCACACTCCTCGAAAACTCCAATGTTGCCAGACGTTAGTGTATATCCAGAAGAAAAAAAAATGAAAGAAAAACCTTGTCAATACCCCATAAATAATGGACTATTCTCTTTTGATCCACATGGAAAGATGGAAAGATATCAAAGACGCTACTTGGTTTCAGTGAGAAAATGAAAGAAAGTAAAGATAGAAGTGTTTGTTTCAGTGCAATGGAAAAGCTGGCAATTCAAATCTTGTCATTTGTACCCACTTACTGCTTAAAATAATGACCAGTATTTCTACTTATGATTATTATTGCAATAGTTTGTTAAAAGTTGTTAAGCTCAAATATTTAACAATGTGATAGAGGAATTTCTATGGATATTTAGTCGTAGAACCCGCCATCAGCTTATTCAATCATTAACTGAAGAATTAAGATGCATCAGTAAATTTAAATAGGAAGACTGAAATTTTCATGGTATTTCTGGTTATTATTATTATTATTGAAAAACAAAACATAGAGACGCTATTTGGTTTCGGGGACAAAGCGAGAGAAAGGGGGACAAAGCGAGAGAAAGGGGGACAAAAGGGTTTATTTGTGGTTTCAGTGAAATGGAAAAGTTGTCAATTTCAAATCTTTTCATTTGTACCCCCTTCTTAAAATAATGAGATTGTTATTGAAATATTTTGTTAAACTCAAACCTTTAACAATATTTTATTGCCATAGAACTCACCATGAATTTAGACAATCTTTAACAGAGGAGTTAAACATTAAAGTTCGTCAGAAAATAGGAAAACCAGGAAATCAAGTAAATTAATGTTCTTAAAAAAAAAAATGACAGCTATTTTACATAAAGAATACAAATTTATTTATCAGTCTTACAGAATGATCTCTTCTACTTCAATATTTCATTTTTATGGGAAGAAAATGATTCGGTATATAATAAGCAAAATGTAAAGATAGTATTGGGGGAAAGGTATAAAGGTGGACAGCATACGTTGGGGTCAGAATGGTAGAAAGAGAGATGGCGAGAGGGTGGAGGTAGAGAGAGAGAGACAGCAGAGGTAGAGAGAGAGAGACGACAAAGGGAGGGGGTGAGTAAAAAGAGAGACGACACTGGTGGTGCACAGTGAGTGACAGCGCAATAGGGGAAGGTAGAAAGAGACATGCCACGGCAGGGGGGGGCAGAAAGAGACATGCCACGGCGGGGGGGAGAGCAGAAAGAGACATGCCGCGGCGGGGGGGCAGAAAGAGACATGCCACGGCGGGGGGGGCAGAAAGAGACATGCCACGGCGGGGGGGGAGGCAGAAAGAGACATGCCACGGCGGGGGGAGACATGCCAGGGGGCAGAAAGAGACATGCCACGGGGGGGGAGGCAGAAAGAGACATGCCACGGCAGGGGGGAGGCAGAAAGAGACATGCCAGGGGGGGAGTCAGAAAGAGACATGCCACGGGGGGGGACAGAAAGAGACATGCCACAGGGGGGGTCAGAAAGAGACATGCCACGGGGGGGGCAGAAAAGAGACATGCCACGGGGGGGAGGCAGAAAAGAGATGCACAGCAGGAAAGAAGAGATAAAGAAAATGTCATTATTGAAACACAAAGTTTTGTAAATTATCACAGTCAGGTCGTACTGGTTAGTGGGGGGTGGGGTGGAGATCTGAACAAAATTTCCCTCGAGTAAATCAAAGACGTGTACAATCACATGTCAAATTCCCATCAACAACAATCTTTTAGCAGCCAAGTGATTTTAAATTATTCAACAGTCAACTTGGAACAGTGGGCAGAGGGCATAGATGATGGTGAAGGGGATGTCGAGTGAAATAAGTTGTCTTTGAACACTAGCCAAGAACCTTCCCTCAAAACCAGGCCAATCCTCTTCCCAAGTCGGTTCAATTTTGATTTCTTCAGAGGCCTTTATTTTAATAATGGCAGCAAAGTTGAAACTGCCAAGCAGACTCTTAACGAGGTTACTCTGCCATTAACATAGATGTGTTTGGTGTCATTTGTAAAATGTTTCTGATAATAATTATTGTGTAATGGTAATGTTAGCCATTTCCTTATAAGGAAGTATTTGGTATTCATTGACCGAGCAGCAAATGCTACCTTCGGATGGTATTTATAAAATCTTTCTTGTAAAACATTTTGTCAGGAAAATAGGTTCCTTAAGTCCAATAATTGTTGTTGCTCTTTATAATAAGGGGAGGTTCCTTCCTTACCTTTTGTTTCAAGTACTGTGGAATGTCAACATTGTCATTATTTATAAGATGTAGTAGACACAATTTTGATGTTCTGGGTATTGCGATAAACTACAACCAACAGCAAGGCCTCTGTTCTGAAGGTTTTTAGGAGCCTGGTACCATGTCTTAATTGCTGGTGTTCCCAGGTCCACACTGACCTAGGGTGGTAGCACCTGTTAGGGTGCCAGCTATGGGCAAATAGTTAACGCCCAAACTGGAGTCAAAACACTATTAAAATGTAAAAATAGGTTTTAATACCAGCAATTTATTTTTGAAGAAAATAAATATTACCAGCAATACATTTTTGGAAAAAATATTACGAACAATAAAAATCTTGTCGGTATCTAATAACCCATTGAGGTTGATATACTTAACCAAAACCAAACAATTTTTATGAAGAAAATTCCATTTTATACACAGGATTATAGTGTGTGTGTGTGTGTGTGTGTGTGTGTGTATATATTTCATTGAATAATATAGTGATTTTCCAAATGTAGCTTAGATGTGGCACAAGGTTAAAAGTATGGGGCACCCAGTGAGGATCGAACTCACTACCTAGTTATAATCGTTCTAGCAAGACAAACTTGCTAACCATTATACCACCTCGAAGTGCTCATAATTGATATATTGTGTCTAATTAGTTTTACATTAATCCTTTCCAGTTATCTAATCAGTTTCTTGATGTTAAGAGGAAATTCATCAAGAAAGGCATTGTAGTTTGTTTTTTAAACCAAGTCTTTCGATCTTTTCCAAGATCATCTTCAGGGTAAATTTCAAATTTATTAAGAATACAGTAATATGATATTAAAGTGCATATAACATTTAATACCATTTTACATTTCTACAAATTTCTTTTTTTTTTTTTCACATATACATACATCTTACTTATCAAATGCAGATTGTGTGTGTGTGTGTGTGTGTGTGCGCGCGCATTTATATATTGGATCGGATTTCCTACATTTTTCAACCGATTTTATCAAAACTTCACAGGACTATGTAAAATTACCTTGCGGTGGTTCTGACAGTGCCAAAAATTGGAAAAAATTGTTTTTGCCCAAAATCAATTTGAAAACACGATAAACACGATTCTGTCGCCAGAATGAAAGGGGGACAACTCATATCGAGTTATACTTATAAAACCCAGGTTGTTTGTGTGTGTGTTCATTTATATATGGATTGGATTTCCTACATTTTTCAACCGATTTCAACAAAACTTCACTTTTTTTTTTGGCAGGTAGTGTTTCTTATTGTCTTGCACACTTTTCTTTATTTTTACATTCAGAATGCTTTAACAATTCCATTTACAAGACAATTGTTTATAATAAAATTCTATTCAATTGGTAGACTCATAACGATTGAAAACAATTAAGACATACATGTCCATCAGCCTTAAACAATAATCTTTGTCAATTTTATTTTTCAGTCTTTATGATGGCCAATACTTGATCTATCTCTTACTGTTACATCCCTGGGTAACACCAGGCTCTACTGCTAGTTTGTTTATATATATATATATATATAAAATGGGTGAAAGTGGAAAATTAGCACCTCATGACCAGCTACTTGGGGCAGATAGAGGTTGACAGCCCAAGGAGGTAGTCAATCTCTGGGAAATAAAATGCTGATTTTAAACCTTCACTGCCTTGCAGTGGCATCCAAACATGGAAAAGGCTATGGCTGTAAGTCCAAACAAAAAACCCAAAATGGATCCCTGAAGGTGGTTGTCTGTCAACACCAACAACTTTCCAGTAAATTCTCCAACCAAGCTATCGCTAATTCTCATGCTGTGTATCCTTTGAATCTTGTCACTTGATGAACTCTTTTCTAGCATCTTGCCTTCCAGTCAACTTTGAGCTTCAAAATTTTAAATGCAATGTCATTTGTTATCTTGTCTTCTTAATTCCTGTTCTTACTCCTTGATAATGTTTTTCTTTTTCTCATTCTTTCACACTGAGTAACCCCTTGCACCTTAGTGGCTTTATTGCCTTGCTTAGAGAGAAACGATTAAAATTTAAATGAAATATCAATTGTTATCTTCTGTCTTCTTAATTTCTCTTCTTACTTAATAATGTTTTTCTTTTTCTTATATTCTTTCACAATCAGTAACTACTTGTATCTTAGTGACTTCGTTGCCTTGCTTGGAGTAAAATGATTTAAAAAAAAAAAAAACGTTAAGAATAAAGTTGATTAAAAAAAAAAAAACAAATTATTTATAACTTAGCCCAACAAATACGAGCATATTTTAACAGTATTAGTCTATACCAGTTTTATGGGGAAGACTTCAGTTTGCATAACAACATTGAACAAAATGCCGGAAGTGTTTTTTTTTTCTCTCTTAACAGACAGACATTTTTTTTTTTTAATTTGAACAATTTTACTGTTAGACATTTTCTTAAGGTTCATTTAGCCTTGAAAAATTTCCAAGACAATTTGCTCTGACTAATATCCCTATCTTTTGAGAAGTCAGGATTAATTTTAATTTTTTTTTTTTAATTGGGTGACAGAGAAGCATTATCAGCAAATAATTTTTCAAGAGAAAAATTTAAAGTCGAAGGAGAGTGACAATAATAGGAAGAGAGAAGATAAGCCCAGTGAATATGAGAGGAATGGAAAGGGGTAGTGGTTGTGGGTAGCAGTAGCTGTGTGACGAAGAGAGAATGAGGTTTGGGGGAGGGGAGATATAGAAATAGGAAAAACTGTCACAACACATTTTGGTTCCAGACTATTTACATCACTGAACAGGAACCATCCCAAAATACAATTTTTTTTTTAAGACGTCCTGAATTTTAATTAATTTTTTTTTTTTAAACTTTATCATTTGTGGATGCCAGTACCAGAGTTCAGAAATTCAACTTATTTCCTTGTATTTACATTTAGATGCATTAAGCAACTTATGACATGCCACCAATTCCTCAATCCGAGCCACTATCCATTACTCCACCATGACTCCAAATGAGTGGGTTTATATACGTATATTTTAATCATTTCACCCCAAGCAAGGCAATAAAGCCACTAAGATGAAAGGGGGTTACTGAGTATTGAGAAAAAGAAAGCAGTATTAAGGAGAGAGGACAATAAAAGAACAAGAATTAAGAAGACAGAAGATAACGACTGACATTGCATTGAAATTTTAGATCAAATTGAGAATATGAGAAAAAGAAAACACTATTAAGGAGAGAGGACAATAAAAGAACAAGAATTAAGAAGACAGAAGATAACGATTGACATTGCATTTAAATTTTTCAAGATCAAAGTTGGCTGGCAAACATGGAAACTAACAAACCGGCTATTAAATGCTATATCTATGCAGCTGCACAAGGACACATTCATTGAGCACTTTACAAAGAAACAACAGTGAAATACAAAACTGCATTGAGATAGCAAAAGATGTCTTCCAAAAGCTAAGCAAAATATTAAGAGACAAAAAATTTGTTAGAAACAAAGAAAAGAGAACTGAACAGTTATGTAATATCAGTCCTCCAATATGACAGTGAATGCTGGACAATCTCTTCACAGATGAAGAAGAGACTTGAAGCAACAGAAATCTTGTTCTAAAGAAAGATGTGGAGAATATATATGAACAACGACAAGATTTTTAGAGAAAACAAACAAAAAGGACACTTATAATTAACCTCAGGAAGAGACAGTTGAAATGTCTAGGTCACATAATGAGGAAAGAAGGTTTGGAAAATTTGATACTCACAGGACATATTAAAGGGAAGGGGGACAGAGGAAAACACATAACCAACCTAGCGAGATTGAGTAATTGGATGGTGGATAAGGTTTACGAGAGATAACAAAAAGACAGTTTATTAAGAGCTACAAAGAACAGGAAATTGTGGAGAGCCATCATCGCCAATATCCTGAAGGAACATTTGGCACATAGAAGAAAAATAAGCTTGAGTAAATGGATGGCAAGAAAAGTTTTAGGAGAGATAACAAAAAGACAATTTATTAAGAGCTACAAAGGACAGGAAATAGTGGAGAGCCATGATCGCCTAATTCCGGACATGGCACATAGAAGAATGAGCTCAAGTAAATGGATAGTGGAACAAGGTTTACGAGAGATAAAAAGAAAGTTTATTGGGCTACAAAGTACAGGAAGCTGTGGAGAGTCATGATCGCCAACGTCCTGGAGGGATTTGGCACATAGAAGAAAAAGAATTAATGTTAGCACAGGGTTAGATCAATGGAGCGTTGAAATTGAGTCCCTTGGAAGCTGAATACACATGCTATTGGCCTGTTTTTATGAAACCTGACATTCAATACTGACTGATCACCACTTGACTTAACCCATCAATCATGGCTTGCAGAAATAATTTGTTTTTTGTAACTAATGCTCACCTAATA